ATTGAAGTAAAAGTGTTTTAAAGGTTTGAAATCCACAGGAATCAATCATCTTGTTATTATCATTTAAAATTTATTGAGGGTCAACAACATGACTTAATCAACATATGCAAATTGGTTATATTACAATTATACATCACACAAATCATTAAATACAATTGGGTCAACTAAACTTTTAATTTTTACTCCATTTTTAAACGTTAAATTGCTTCTTTTAAAAAGTAAATAAATAACTTTAGTATACCTGGCAATATAAACACAATCATTCAAATAAGTAGGACTGTCTCAAGGAAATCACTGCTTTGGGTATTTTTAGCAGTCACTTACAACTTAGAATAGATCTATAATAATTACCCATTATATTTTCAAAAAGTGACCAAATGCATGCATGAAGACTGAGAGTATCTACTGAGACAGAGAAACATAATAACTCACATACGATGTACTTGTTTTTCCAACAATTGTCCTGAGAAATTTAAAGGCTCTTATAAAACATGGTAACATTGCTTACAGAATCACATCCAACCCAACAAAAGACAGATATCCTTCACATGTATACAAATTAGATTGCTTATGAATTCTGAAACATTTCTAAGTTTAAAGCAAAAGTGAATATCTTATTAGAGGAAAATGAAATTTTTTATACCATTTTGATGTATCTCTCATATTTTACCATTCATAAAACAACAAGTAATTATGTTCAAATGTATGTTGTTGGTTAACTGGGAATCAGATATTGTTCTTAAAAAATTCATGTTTCAAATCAACTGAGCTGTAGGTCATCTTTATTTTCTAAGAGGATGAAACATTATACATAATAATTCTGTTATATCCCTTTTAAATTTACTTTGAAGTTCCAAACTATACATAAATATTTAAGATTATAAAGCATGATTTTCATTGAAGTATTATAAAAATAAGAGAATTTCTAGAACAGGCCTTTCATAAAATAATATTATTCTAATGTAAGAAATATTCCACTTGACAACTTTGTATCAGAGTATCAGAAATTTTTCATTTGACAAAAATACTATCTTTTTATTGTTTCCTAAGTTTATAAATGTGTTGTAAAAGCAAGGACAAGGTATACTTTACCAAACATGGCAAATTACTTTGCATAATTAAAGAACTATTTAACTTTCTCTTCCCTTTTGCCTTGTTAAGAAGTTCACATTAACATACTTGCAATTAATAAACTCGATAACACTTTCTATATTTGTCCATATGCCTGTCGATCACACAGGACTTAGTTTTCCATTTTTTTGAGACAGGGTTTTTCTGTTTAACAGTCCAGACTGTCTTGGAACTTGCTTTGTAGACCAGGCTGGCCTCAAACTCACAGAGATCTGCCTGCCTTTGTCTCCCAAGTGCTGGAAATAAAGGCATGCACCACCACCACCTGGCCACACAGGACTTCTCAAAAATAAGAACCAACCAAAAATATATGAGGAGTGATAGAATTGATAAATAATAATTAATTTATTCTATTATTTCTTCTTTTAAATAGATAAGGTGAAAATTTAATCTGACTTCTTAAGTATTGCCTACCATCTCTGTTAGATCTTTGACTTATAGAATATTATTCTAGTTTCACAGTGTGTTGGGCACAAGTTGTTGAAATCCAGATCAACTAATACTCCTTTTTTGACATTTTCTCTATGTTTGCTATTAAATGACAAATATTTATTGAGCACACAGTTGACAGACCCCAGTGATAGGCTCTTAGAACAAAACCTAAACAAGACCTCTGATGGGAGATGTCATTCTGTAAATATGTTTCTCATACTGGTTAATGAATTAAGCACTGTTGGCCAATAGGAAATCAAGACAGGCAGGACTAGGAGACAAGGAGGATTCAAGGAAGTAGTAGGGAGGAGTCAACATGGAGAGAACTGGAGAGAGCAGAACCACCGGCCCCCTCTCTCCCATAAGATAAGATCACTTAGATTAATAGAAATGGGTTAATAACAGAGCTAGCCGATAAGAAACTAGTAACTGGGCAACAGCATTATATCAAATACAGAGTCTCAGTGTGTTAATTGGGGCTGGTGCTGCGGTGGGTCCAGGCCAGCAGGAAAAACCTTACACCTTACAAGGCCTCAATGTCATGCATAAGAGTGAATATAAACAATTTGCAAATGATTAATTTTTAACTATTTTCCCATTTCAGAAAGCTTACTCCAACCTTATTATTGAAACCTGAAATAACTGTCTTAACTGCTCTCTTCCTGTACCTCACAGTGCTTCTGTTGAACAACTGTTTTCCCTCGTTCAGCTAGTACTAAGAAAAGCACATCAGTCATTTCCTTTGGAGGAGAAAGTTGGAAAGACAGGGATTTAACATTGAAGGTCTATTTGGAAAAAAGGAACAGCAAAACACTCACCTTTGATGAATTAAATATCAACAAGTGAGTAGATTTTAGCAATGCGTATTACATCATTGAACCACAATGCACTCTCCCAAGACAGGGTACATGAATTATAATGATGCATTTCCGCATGGCAGCTCAATGCATTCAACATTTTTAGCTTTGGCACACTGGTTCCTCCCATAAGCACAGCCTTATCAGTCTTGAAAAACATTTATTGAGAGACATTCTGATACTTCTACAGACAACCTTGTGCGTCTCTTCCTAATGAAATGGCTTTTAAGTATAAGGCTATACAAAATGTTAACCCTCAAATCTATAATCTAGCAAACATAAGATATGCTTGAGAAAAATAAAAGTAACATAATACATTATAAACTAAAAAATAGAATAGCAAATTTTGGAGTCCTGTAGATCTTAGTCTTCATAGTCTCCCCTTTCTTGTATGTGATGGTATCTCCTTCTCTAAATTAGGTTCACCAGAAATTAATTCCACCTTTCCCAAAACTGCATTTCCCAATATAAAGTGGGGTTGAGTTAATGCATTCAGGCATAGCTGGGATGTACCTACATCCATCAGTTCAATGTGCACAGTTAGATTTAGAGAACACAGCACATTGAAAACCTCATAAGAATTACACAAACCATGATGTTTCCCCTAAAGAAATCCACAGGTTAAAACTTAAATTAATGAAAAGGTGTCTTTGATGATATTTAGTTGTTTAATGTATTATAAATTCATTTTAGATAATAGATATTTCTGAAATTAGCTAAAACTATGGAGGAGAGAAATGAAAACCGAGTTCTAAAACATCCATTTAAGAATAAATATTAGGATTCTATCATGCAACACATAGATCAAAGGCAGGAGTTTTTCTCACATGCAATCTCTCTGCTTTATTCATGTCTTAAAAATACCTATTTCTCTCACAAATTATTTGGCAGAAACATACTACCGCAAAAAAGGACAATAAGTATACATATACTATTTTCTTTTATGTTCATAATTTAAAAGATGAGAGGTCATCTTTAAACTTCAAACTTCAAACTGTTTCAAAATTATCATAAAACACATTTAAAACCGTTTTACAATTATTATAGAATCAATTGCCTTTGTTTTATATAAGCCTACAATCCAAAGCTTTCATGAATAAAACATAATTTTCATAAAATTGCAATGAAAATAATATGAAATAGGAAGTTCACACCTGAGTGAGCCATTGCCAATTCCAGAGAACATTAATGGGCTAATAAAAGTGACACTTTCACTTCCAGAAACAAACAGTGTCCCATGGGTCACGCTAGGCACCATTGCTGTCATAGTGTTGTACAACTTTCCACTGCCCTACTCTCTAGTCTGTCTACTTTTGACAAGCTGTAATGATTTTAAACATCCTGCTAGGCTGGTACAGTATTTGGTTGGCATGATTAAGAACTTATGGTCAATTCCGGAATCAGAAAAAAAAAAAAAAAAAAAAAAAAAAAGAAGAATAAAAGTAAAAGCAAGAACCTAAACAAGCTATGATAAGCATTGTTACGTCTAGCACACAGAAAACCATGCTCCTCAGTAAACTAATGCATGCTAATTTATCAAAATGGTTTTCATGAGAAAAGAGATCTAAATAAGTATATGTGCAATTTGGGAATTTATAATTGGTTGTACCCTTTAGACATATGATTTTTTTTTATTTGGGCTACACAGTGCCGTGTCAGAGAATCAGATTGGGAATGCCTGTCTTCAATTTGACTAAGAAATTTGAATATGGAAAGCTGCATAAATGAACAAACTGAAACACTACCTTGTTTGTGCTTTGTATTTCAGACACTAATGTAGGCACTGTCGCCCAAACAAAGCAGTCTGAAGTTTCACATTGATTCCAACAATTGTTCGTGCTACCCGGAGGCCAAAGAGAAATGGAAACACTTTATCAATATAATTATCATGTTGTTTTCACTATAAAAGTCTCTAAATCTCTTCACTTAGTTGAGCTGCAAGAATAAGCACACTATTGTTCGCAATGTTTAAAAGACAGTGTTCAAGAGCAATTTTAAATTATATACTGAGTGATATTGTAGTAAAACAACATTAACATATATATAAATTCTTCATGACTTTATGATGTATAATATTAAATTTTCAGGCCCTTTGGGTGAATCAACAAGCACAGTCATCATATAAAGTGTAATAACTTTTGCTACCATTTGTATCAGTATTTTAACTTAAACAAATTATTCTTAAAGCAATATAAACTACTTTTTATGTTTATTCTTTGGGCTGTGATCCGTGAGGTGGTATTGAAACAAAACAAACAAACAAACAAACAGAAAAGTATCTACATGTTACTAGCTCATTTTTGCATTATTAATCCTCTTCAGCATCTCCGCTGGTGTAATGAAGCAGTCAGTACAGGCTTCCTTTCTGAATTTATACTCAAAGCTTGATACACCAAAGAAAGACAAGGCCACATAGTCACCTCACATTCTCCCTGTCCAGAAAAGCATGCAAGGACATTGCTATGGTGCAAAAGATTTAAAGGTTACTGTCTTCGGCCTGTCTGTGTCCAGTGTTTTCCTCCTCATGTTGTTTTCTTTCTAAAGAAGATAATGTCAACCTGCTTCACTTTTTTTTTTTACCTTGCTCCACTGTCTTGGCTTTCTCTTCTTTCTTTCCGTACATAGCTGCAAAGCAAAGATAAGGTTTAAATAAGAATGTCAGCCTGGAATGTTTATTCTGCACATGAAAGCCTTTGGAAATGCATTCAGTATCAAATATCTAAACAAGCTCTTCTCTACTGCTTTTAAAATGTTTCTCATCTCTCTATAATGCGATTGAAATCTGTCTTAAATCTAATCTTAAAGAATTAGAATCAGAAAAGAGAAGCAGTAATCCCTTCCGTCTCCAGGCTGATTCTTCCACACTCTTTTCTGCTTTATTCCTTTATGCTTTTTTTTTAATAATATAAACAAGCTACAAAGAAATGCACTTGACATGACTATGATTAATTGACTTACAATCCAGGGTATTGCTTGAGTCACAGTATCTTACAGATGTCAACCAGATGCACCTTAAAATTCAAACTGTGTCTTCATCAACTGAAAGGAAGGTGCCACTATGCTTGAGAAGCATTTAAATATTAAACGAACCCATCCCACATCACAAGCAGCCAAAAGATTCCGATAAAGGAATCTTTTAAAGCACTGTAACCCATGAATCATGTTTTCCTTAAGATTTATTGCTCTCAGTCTAAGATTTGCTGTTTACCTAGCTAAGTGTCAGATGAGCAGAATATTTTCATACAAACTCAGTGCCTTCAGCTGAAGTAACTGATTTGAGAAAGAATCTTCAGAGAATTGGAACATCCACCAGATGAAGAAGCAGTGCAGAAATCAATAATGCCATCACAATAAACTCTACAGAGAGTTGCAAAGGGGAAAATGCAACTTTGAAATGAATAAATGAGTCTGCCACTGGCTTTACTCATTTTGGAAACAGAAGTGTTTCTTCGTTGGAGCCTCTCAAGGGATGCTACTTCCTGATGAAAGAATATGCAGCGCGGTGAATGTCAAAGCATTGTACTGGAATTCACTTAAACTAGAGGTCCAGCTTTTGTTTTAATCAAATGCAAGGTGTAATGATCATGTCAAACAATACTTGAAAGAAATCATCAGGCAAATAAAAATATCCATTGGGAACTACCTCTGAAGAAAGGAAAAGTGAGGGAGAGTGATCGAGGTAGGAAGACAGGAGGGGTCAATAAAGAATGAAGAAGAAAAAGCAAAGGAAGATGTGATCAACGTTGATATATATGCTTAAGTAATCCACACCACCTATAAATTAGTACACTTTAGCTTAGTTATGAAATTGTAGTTGAATTATTCTTAATTTTGTAACAATCATAAAACCAACAGTTTTCACTCCATCGTGTACTAAGTCAACTTGTAAACAAAACACCCATTAATTCAATTTTCTGTTTCTGTTTCATTGTGAGCGATTCTATAGTGGATGCCATAAGGCATAAAAGAATGACAAACGTGCTACATCTGAGAGAAAAAGAAATTTGCATACTAGTTAACATATGTGGAAATCGGCTTTAATGTTGTTTTGTAAATTTGCCAGTTATGTAAGTTCCTACCTGAGTATGTTCATGATAGCTTTGGAGTATCATGTGATTCTATTAAATCGTCCATTATTTGCCAAGCCAATATGTAGAACATATTTAGGACAATAATTCAGATATAAGATTACATAGCAAAGAATTTGGTTATAATGTCCTATATTTAAAAGTAGATTATACTTTTGTCACTTGTCTCTCAAAACTTACCGAGCAAGCTCATTCCAACAAAAATATTAGCCAAGTTATAAATTCAACACTTTTTAATTTTTTAAAAAAAAATGTTTTTCAGACATGGTTTCTCTATGTAGCTTTAGAGACTGTCCTGTCACAGATTCTGTAGACTAGGTTGGCCTCAGACTTACCAAGATCAGCCTGCCTCTACCTTCTGATGCTGGGATTAAAGCCATGTGCCACTACTGCCTGGCTAATTCATGATTTTCTCTGATGAGTTTCATAGCTGGTAGTGTGGTTTTGACTTCATATCATTATTTACTCTGATTTGTAGAAGATTGAGTTGCAAATTATGAATACTTGTATTTATCCCCTAAATACTTAAGGTAAAATGCCTCAATACATGCATGAATCCATAGCCAGTAGTTTAATATTTGCTTTTTAAAGCATTATAATATTCTTTCCCACAATCAATAATTATACTAAGATGATTATCTGCAATAAGATTGCAAAGGAAAAGTATCTACTGTTTTCTGGACACAGTGTTGATTTCATTGTTATCTACTGATTTGATTACACCTTATCTTCATTTTCCTTCTTGCTTTCAAATCCATCAATAAACTGAGTTTATTTACAGCATGTGAGATCCATATATCTATTCCCAGATTACTTTCTTATTGTCTGTTTAAACATTTAGCCTTTTCATAATACCATGATATCCCTCATTCTAAAACAACTGCATTTATTTACATCACACAATAGTAATGAGACATGCCAATTTCAAAATATGATACCACATAAAGCTATATTAATTTAGGCTTCTGTCACTTATGGTAAAATCATGTCAATTAAGTATAATACAATCACCAACAAATATTATATAAGTATGTATATGTGTACATACAAATGCATAGAACATGCACCAACTAACAGCAATGTATGAAATGTATTAATGGATATGGCAAATTATTTGTTCATATATAAAATGTTAGAAGAAGCATGTATAGAGGTGTCATGCATATTCTAATAGTTTTAAAATTTTTATGTACATATATAAAGTCATTTTTATAAAAACAAGTAATGTCATTTTAGTGGAACATGTGAGTAAGGGTGTGTATGTAGATTTTTGTGAGTGTGAACATATAATGATGGTTAGGCGTGTTAACTATTCCTCTGATAGTGTAACCAGAATGTATCCCTGGTGCACGAAATGACTTCGGGAGCACATTCCCCATGGATGAATACTCCCTTTGCCTAGAGGCAGGAGGAAGGGCCTAGTCCCTACTCCAAATGACTTGACAGATTTTGTTGATCCCTCCTGGAAGGCCTCACCCTCCCTGTGGAGTGGGTGGGGAATGGGATGAGGGGGGGTGGGTCAAAGGGCATGGGAGGATGGAAGGGAGGGGGAACTGGGACTGGTATGTAAAATAAGAAAACTAATAAAAAAAGGAAAAAAGTTTAACTGAAAATAAATAAATAAATATATTCCTATGATGTTTATGTCACAAAAAATATTTCTATGAGATACTTTTAAAGACATTGTTATAATTACTTCTCTTGAAACTGCACATTTTGCTTCTCAAAGGAAAACTGCCCTATGTCAGCATTTCACGGAATATATTTCTTGATCTTATACTACTGTCATACAAAATGAACATTTTCATGTGAGTTTTCTCAGGCAAATTTGAATTTGTTCAATACCTGATCTTTTAAAGTAGTGTCCAAAAGCCATATGGGTGACTGAAATCATATTGAGTTTAAGCAACATATTTATAAAATTTTTCAAAAACTGTATTTCAATTTGAATATACTTGCAAACATTAATTCATAGCTCTAGAGGACCAGGACTAACAGCATTAGAGAAATAAAATAAAATAAAAAAAAACATGGTTAGTGTAGGTGCTACAAATATCATGCAACATTTGTTTCTATCAGTAAAAGAGCAGACTAAGTAGACAAAGCTCTTCTTGCCACACTACACAAAGAATAAATTAGAAGGTTCAGAATAATTTATAGTCATATCAGCTGTGTTTACCCTTTTTGGTTGAGGCAGCATCAATCTCTTCTTTGGATCGTTCAGCTTCTGAAAATTCAGTTATTTGAAGAATAAGCAACAGATATCAGAGTTTTCAGAATAATAACATATAGTGCTCTAGTCAGGCAAGAACACAGACAAGCAAAGTTTAAAATGCAGATAGTTTCTGAGAAGCAGAAAAGCAAGCTATAGAGAAAGCTAAACTACAAATACTTTTTGTCATTTTTGCTCTTTTATTAACCCTCTGTAAACTCCCTTTCAAGATATAACTCTGTGACATCAAAATTGTATTCTTATGTAAGTAGTAGCAATAAAAAGTGACTTATTCCTCAGAAAGTGATATTAAAGTATGTGTATATAGTCACAGTTTAAGTGATTTATGAATGTTATGGAAGAATATATAATGCCGTTTTTTGGTCAGTCTTCAATTATGTATATGATGAAGAATATTTGATCTAGAAAGCTGATAGTGTATGTGCTTTTAGTATTAGTTAAAATATTATAAACATTCAAGTCAATTGTTGCTTCAAGAAATGGTAACCATTTTAAAGGCAAAATTTTTGCTGTGAGGGTGTTATCTGAATATCTTGTAAGGAACCTGCACTAAAGATAAAATATGGAATATTATTCCTAGAACAAATATTCCACTTCAAAGTGAAAATAGACAATGCTTTGTACAATTTGTGGGGGTTGGGGAAGAAAATAATGATGAAATAATAAATCTTTGTAATGCTTTTCATCTCATTTTATAAACATCTCATTATTTGAGGTTGTTCATTATTGTCATATTTTTATATATTTATCACTTGTTATACTATCTAATGACAATGATCTTAATTTTACCATTATAAAATACATTGATTATAAATTTATGTCCTGAAATTTTCATATAGAGTTTAAAAAGTCTCACTGCATTTCAAGAAAATATCTATATGTTTCTCCATTTGTATATGAACTTTTAATTAACTTTTCTCATCTAGTCTAATGGAATTTCTTCTAAGAGCCAAAGACTGCCTAACACAAACCTAAGTACCAGACATGAGAAGCTCTCTTTTGAATTGTTGGCCAGAGATGTCTAAGTTATTCCCAAAGCATACAACCTGCTTCTTGTCACTGGCTACCACCAAGAGGTGGAAAGTAAATCCCTATGCTGAAGACACCATGCACTGCAGAGACAGGATCCAGAGGGCTCTTGAGCTAGAAATTGACCTGAAGTTTCCCTCCCTGATGTCTAGTTTCCATGGCACCATAAGGTATCATGAAAACTTTTCAATAAGAAACAATCAATATCCTCATAGACATCTGATGCCTATGAATCACATCAATGACCAGCATGGCATGACATCCTTACAGTTGTGGTAGTGGCACACATACCTCGGCAGTAACCAATGGCTCTGTAATTGGACTTAATATTCACTCAACAAGAGAAATTGCATGCCTGGTATTGGAAGCCTATTAACTTTTTAAGAAATCATGGTTACTGAAGGAGAATCTACAACCACTAATTTATTAAACAAGAGTAAGACTATATTCCTTATTTTTTTTCAGAGATAGTTCAATGGTATTCAAATAAATGATACAATATCTGGATATAAATGCCTCTAAATACTGTTTCAATGATAAATACCTAAATTCAACATTCTCTTAATTTTCAGTGCAGTACACTTGTTCCCAAATAATTCTGGAGTGCTTAGTAGAAGAGGAGATTGTCCTTCACAATACATATCAGGACACTGAAGTAAGTTAGATGGATCAGCCTTTGCATGTTGGCCAAACATATAAAAATATGTGCAGTGGTAAAAATCAGAGGGTAAAAAATGTTTGATGGTAAATTTCTTGTTCATAACTCAATTGATTGGAGGATAATTTCAAGTAATGTGAACTATGTGATCTATGGCCTTGAATTAGTAAGTGTGGAAAGAATTAACTATAGCAATATTTCCAAAGATCTTCAACACACTGAGGTTTGGTGTGACCATTCGTAATAAAATAGAGATGCTGCCCTCACATTTTATAGTAATTGGTGTGAATTAATGTCCTTTTGAAGATTTACTATGAATGTTATTACATATGTTACAAAAGCAATACTCTAAAATCACACCTGTTAACTAATCATATTGTCAATCTCTGTACTATTATATTCAATGTTCAAAGTGTATAAGCACATGTGACTTCATGGAGGAAAAAAATGTGTGTTTGGAGATGTTTTGGGCTTGCACCTGGTTGGAAAAAAGAATCTATATCAGCTTTCAGAAGGTCTAAATATAGGATTGACATGTTTGTGTTATTCAAGAAACTCTCCCCCATACCACCTTCTTCTCAGGACATTGTAGGGGCATTATGATCCCGTAGGTAGTACTATATCATTTAAAGTTGGAGAATAGTACTTTTCTCAGGTTCATAGTACCCACAACAACCTCCACTACAAATCGATAAGTGTTTTTCCTACAGTGATATTAATTATTCTCCAGGAGCTGGGTGGATGGTTCCTCCCTACTAACTCAATCTCCCTTCTAGTTATGAATTCAGTGTTAATGAAAAATAATTTCCCATAGTTTTTCTTCTGTCAGTGTCACTTTCCTTAATAATTCATTGTCATCTTATTGAATCACATACCTGTTTTATGTTATTTTATTATGTTTCTAACTGTCTTATATACTCTTATGATTTAAAGTAACATAAAACCCTATTCCAGATAATCCAGTAGTTACAAACTGTACAACATAATATTGGCAAGTTAAAAACTTTTCAAATATCCATAATTTATAGAATTTTCACCTTAGCATTAACCTTATGGCCATTGACTGTCTATAGTAACTGTATAAAATCTGTTTTATGATTTCATTATCAAAAAAGACCAACTCCTAGATAAATGTCTGGTCATAATTATATTAGATAATTTAAAGAATCAAGAGCTTGTGAATATTTTAAAATAATTTTGTGGTGAAGAATAATATTCATGCCAAGACCAAAGGTTTCAATCTTATAAAGGGTTGCATACTAACTCTTTTAAAATTTTATATTGGGTTAAAAAAATTTGGCAAGCTACTTTACTAGTTTACTGCAAAAGACGCTTAGCTCTTCAAAATATGATTGGACAGTACTGCACAGATGGACATAATTCCAGGTTTTATTCTTGTGGATGAATATTTTTATCTGTAAGTCACATTTCCTAGTGAGAAATGTTTATTTTCTGAGTAATTTTCAGCCTAAAGTTTTCGATGTGCAATGCAAAATTATCAGTTTCACTTTGTGCACTTCCTTGATTATGCATTTCCATGGCTTAGCATACTAAACAATCTATAACACAAAGTTCAGTTAGCCCTACATCCAAATTTACTTACTGTTTTGCATGAAAATATAAACAAAATTATAGGTCATGAAAAATTACTTTTTCGTTTTTTTAAGTGTGTGTGTGTGTGTGTGTGTGTGTGTGTGTTCATGATTTTGGTGTTCATTGATGGCATAAGAGGACATTGGATACCCTGGAACTGAAGCTATAGGCAACTGTGAATCAATAGGGGTGCTGGGAACTAATCTCAAGAAATCAAGCCTTCTGGAAGAACAGCAAGTGTTCGTAACTACTGAGTTATATCTCTAACCCTAAACTACTGTCTTTTTAAAAAATGTCTTTGTGAACAATTGAAATTGCAGTGTTCTGTATTTTAAAAAAAAATAACATCAAGCTATCTAATATTTTTCGATTATTCTGTGATATATCTCTTAATGATATGCTGTTTATAAATTAAAACATTAAATAAAACACAGGTCTCCATTATATATCAGCACCAGGATCAATATGCATGCATCATTAACAGTAAACAAAAACATAAATGCATTCTATAATGTATGCATCACATATTCTACCATTCATCTTATACAAAAAGCATAATGAAATTAGTATTTTCCTAAAAGTAAATGCCTTATATTGTGCATAATATTTATTAATAACAGTATTTATTAATAATTCTGAAATAACTATTTTATCAAATAAAAAATTAATGAGCAGCAAATCAGAATTTCTCCCTAATAATGTTATAAAATCTGCCATTGAGCATCTGTCATGATAAGTTTACAGAAAAATATCCTCATCTGAGGATATAAAAATTTAGAAAAGTGAAATTCTACAATATAAATTTCAATAACATTTTAGGAAGGCTACATTTCATTGAAAATTTAACTGTCATGGTAGACAAATTGTTTAGTAGATTGATCAAGTGTTAATCATTGGGATCCTTAAATAATTAATTAGATAATGCATAAGGAAGTGAATTAGTTACAAATTGTATAGGATGCGAAAAAATATGTAACTGAATGCAGAAATTATGATCTAAATAACTGAAAACTCAGAAAGCAATGCTCTCTGAAGAAATTTTCACAAGAACAAATACAGAAAATGCCAGATGAGTTATCTTGCATATTATTTCATCATAACAATTAATCATATAGAAATGTGGAAAAGTGAGACTTATAATCAGTGTTAGAAGGGTCTGCAGAAGAAATGCAAATGAGTAAGCTGCTAAATATGCTCCTCTTATCAAGATTTGTTCAACATACTTGTTTTCCCATGTTTTTCACTCGGAGCTGCAATAACAACAGAAAATCAGGTCTTCATTAATTAATAGTCTACTTTTATTTAAAATAACTTTGATTTTTAGTATGTGGAAGATGACAAGTATTGGTGGAAACTGAAGAAAAACAAATCTGAGGAGAAATATAGCTTTGCAATTTTCTTTGTTATGCTCTAACAGGAATTTCAAAGCCCTAAGATTTGGGAGGCACTACAGGGTGAGCTCACTTACCCTTCAGAAATTGATCATGCCCCATTTACTCTACCTTCAAAAATTATCAAGGGGCTTCCTGATTGCTTCTGTGTTTAGATAAATGTATTTTCCTAAATCTATGATTTTCTCCAAAGCATAAATTAATTTTATAAATCATCCAGTAATTCTTTTATTTATTTCTTTCCTTCCTTCCTTTCTTCCTCTCTCACTCCCTCCCTCTCCTTCCCTCCCTTTCTTTAATTCAACCATGAGCAGTTTTCCCTTCCTGTTTTCCTCCCATTCCCTTCCCACTTCTCCTGATCCCCCATCCCTCAATCCACTCTTCTCTTACTATACAGAAAGTGGTAGACCTCACATGGGTATTAACAAAGTATGGCATATAAAGTTGCAGTAAGATTATATTATATAAATTATATTAATTTATATTAAGACCAAACAAGGCAATCCAGTATGAACAATAGGTTCCCAAGAGCCAGCCAAATATTAAGGAAAACTGCTGTTCCCATTGTTAGGAGTTCCACAAGTAGACTAAGTCATGCAACTGTCACATATTTGTAGAGGGCCTAGGTTGGTTCCATGCAGGTTCCCTGGCTGCTGGTTCAGACTCTGTGAGTAGTGCCCAGAAGCCCAGGTTAGTGTTTCTATGGGTTTTCTTGTGATGTCCTTGACCTCTCTGGATTCTACAATTCTTCTTTCCTCTCTTCATCAGGATTCCTTGAGCTCAGGCTAATAATGTTTGGTTGTGAATCTCTGCATCTACTTACATCCGCTACTGGATGAAGGTTCTCTGATCATAGGAGAAGGCCAGTTTAGTATATGTATCCATTATTATTTGGATTCTTAGCTGGTGTTATCCATGTAGATTCTTGGGAGTTTCCTATTTTCTTTAAATATGTCTAAGTAGCCAGGCATGGTAGTGCACACCTTTGATCCAAGGGTTGGGAGGCAAAAGCAAGGGCATCTATGTAAGTTTGAGGCCAGCCTTGTATACATAGTGAGTTTCAGGAAAGACAGAGTACATAGAAAGACATTATCTCAACACCTTACTAGAGGGAACTATTATAGGTTTAAAGAGAAATCTGGCACTAGGGACATGGTCAGAGATCCACAAAGAAGACTTCAACTAAGAATCTAGGCAGTAGAAGAGATGCTGCCTTAGATGCCCTTTCCTTATAATGAGATTTATTGCCTTATGCCACCCTAGAACCTTCTTCCAGTAGCTGATGGAAATGGAAGCAGACACCCACTCCTTAGCAATGAGCCGAACTCCTGAAATCCAGTTGTAGAGAGGGAGGAGTTATGAGCAAAGGGGTCAAGACCAGGCTGGAGAAACCTACAGAAATAGCTGACCTGACCAAGTGAGAACACAGGGACCCCAGTCATAAAGCTTGGGAACAAGCATTTGATCAAACCAAGCCTTCTGAATGTGAGTGCCAGTTAGGAGGCCTGAGTAGTCTAGGGTATCTCTGACAGTGGAACCACTATTTATCTCTAGTGCACAAAAGGGCTTTGGGAGTCTATTCCCTATGGATGAATACTCTTTCAGCCCAGATACATGAGGGTCGGCCTAGGCACTTCCCCAAATGATGTGACAGACTTTGATGATCACCCATGGAAGGCCTCACCATCCTTGGGAAGTGGGTGGGTGGTGGGTTGGGGGTCGGTTCGGTGGGGACATGAAAGGATGGGAGGGAAAGGAAACCGGGATTGATATGCAAAATAAGAATGTTCCTAAATTGAATAAATAAATAAAAAGAGAGATGTTATCTATAAAATCAAAGCAAAACAAAATGAAAATCCGTAAGTATTAGTAAGCTGGTGCAGTGCATTCACCCCTTGAGATATGCATATATTGATTACAACTAGACCTTTGTAGTTAGTGGTAATACATGGCAGTAACACTAATCTGTTGCTCATATCAATATTGTGTATACTTCTGCATGTTTTCCATATTTTATAATCTATTTTGACTTCCAAATATGTGTATAAATATGAGTATGTGTTTGCTATCTTACTGTAGGAATGCACCCTCTGAATAATTGAGCTCCACTCTATAATGTGACAAAACATTCCATTTTTAAGTTGTAGTACCTTGACTGCTAATATGAAATAAAGGAACATGCTATTATTTCATTTTTTTAAATTATGTATCTGAAAATTACTCAGTTTTTATACTTTAGAACCAATTATTCTATTTCATGTTCTTCTATTCTAATAAACTATTATCAAGTGCCCATTGTTTATTTGGAATTACAACAGGCATTTTTTGAGAATCTGTATCCTCTATCTTCTGATGATTTAAAACCCAGAAAGGAAAAGGGAATTATACCAACATATTAAAATCTATGATAACAGTAAGAAAATAATGCTATTGAAGTAGTAAAAAGATGCCTAAGATGAGATTGCCCATCTCAGGAAGTATTACAAATTTGAACAAAGAATGGGAAATATAGATTCTAACAGTTATTTCAAGGGGCTGTAGATATGCTATACTTTAGCAGTACTCACTTGGCTATTGACATAATATTAAAAGAACATTGCTTCATTCTAAATACAAGTAAATGTAATATTAGCAGCTGAGAGACAGTAATTGAAGTGATGTTGGACTGCGTACATGCACATTCCTTGCACATACACAAGTCTTCCCCTCTACACTCTCCAAGAGTTTCAGCTTACAAAGCTTGTACACTCACATCTTGTAACACACATCTTCACCTCTTATACACGTGGAGGGGGAGAGGGAGACTTATACACGGGGAGAGAAGGTGGGAGGGAGGGATGGACAGGGAAAGGGAGAGGGAATGGGGATGGATATGTAAAATAAAAATAAATAAATAAGAAAAGAGAGAGAGAGAGAAAGAAAGCAGGCTAGACCCAGCAGTCATCAGTATCTTCATACTGCCTTGAGTTCCTTTTCCTTGATGGACTATACCTTTGAACTGTGAGATAAATAAACCCTCCTCCATAAGTTGCATTTGTCTGGGTGTTTTTCCAGCAGTACTGATTCTCAGACATTGCCCAAATGGATGCACAGGATCTTACCAAGATGTAGATTCTGACTTAGTCATTCTGGAGGGAGAGCAGACTCTGATTGTTTCAACCTCTCAGAGGATCTGATACTGTTAGTTCATGGGCACATGTTCAGCAACAAATGAATAACAGAGCATGTGATTTCCCTCCCCTCAGACTATATTGATATTGATTCTGTCTAGAGCTTAGAAAACAGTGAGATGGTCACATTTCCTGCCTTCACCCTGCATTGCCTTTGTTCCCCCATCTCAGGCTTGGCTTCAGGTAAAATTATATGAGTTCCTACAGTCTTACTCACCTGGGTGTTCCTTTTTTGGTGACTTTGCTGGGTGAAACAAGAAAAGAAGGGGTCAACAATCTGTGATACTCATTAAAATTCACTATTCAAGTACCAATTAAATCATTTAAAATTAGAGAAATGTTAAAAATAGTTACCGGATTCTATGGGCTTTTCTTTCCTTTCCTGTTCTAAAACATTATCACTGTTAATACTATTTTACTTTTATGTTTTCCAAATAAGATTTTTTTAAAGTAAACAAACATGCATCACTGATGCTAAACCACAGTAACTCACAAATGTAACAAAATGATTAAAGTTTCACCCTCAGGAGAGCCCTTTCTCCCTTGTTGATCGAGTGTGTTCTCCAAGCACAGCACTGAAATATTTTAAATATTAGGGGTTTTTTTGAAGTAGAAACCAGAAAAATAATATAGATTCCTTAAGTACAGAAATCATTAAGCTTGCTCTTATATTAATTTGAACTAAAGTTCAGATACAATGTAAGCCAGTGGGAGCAAACATACTTGCCTGGTTGCACAAGATGTTACACTAGAACCCTTTTAAGATGGCTCTTCCTTCCAAGACCACCCTTATCCACATTCTATGAGAAAAAAGTCACAAGTCTAGCCTTCTGATGACCTATTAATAAGGACTATTTTTCTTGAAAGTGCAGGCAATAATTTAATAGAAAATGCTATTGTTGTTTGTGTTTCTATTCTTGTTTTGACTTGACAACTTGTAAATTTAATCAAAAGTAGGTCCTCAAGCAATGATAACATATAAGCCCAGTGAAGCAAAGAGAGACAGAGATTTCTTAACATTTTTATCTCCTGAATACGATCTGAAGATAGGGAGATATTTACATTGAAATAATTTTATAAACCCAATTTTAGGAAGAAAGAGTGTCATAGAATCTTCTCTGGCCAATTCATCAAGCTCTCCATGCAAGACTTTGTTCACCAGACCTGTACTGAATTATGCAGTTTAGGCAATTCACTCTGTTCTAATACAATTGCTGGCAGTAAAGTAAATAAAACAAATAGTTTGACCAAGTATTGAAAGCAAAAATAAAAGTGTGTGGCTTAACTAAACTAAACTGAACACATTCCTATAAGTCCAAGTGACAATTAACTAGGCACTCAGTTTTTTTTTTTTTTATTTTCTTTGAACATGTTTTTATTTTAAATGTTTAAGTGATTTGCCAATATGTATGCATGCATGCCGTGAGTGTCATGTGCAAAGGGGGCATCATATTCCCTAGAACTGGAGGTAAATATAGTTGAAACCTACCATGTGGGTGATGGGAGCCAAACCTGGTCCCCTGAAAAAGCAGCAAGTGTGCTCAACCAACAAGCCATCTGTCCAGCTTCTGAGAATATTGTTTAACTAACAGCTGAATCATTAGTTGAAATATTTAAAGATATTTATATTTATAAATTGATGACAACAAAACAATTCACTGGAGTTGAATTTCAGCATTTGTCAAAATCAAATACTGGCTATATGTATCCAAAAACAAGATATCAGCTCCTCTCTTACAAAGCTATTATACATATATTTGATAAGTACTTGTTTGAGTTGGAATACTACATAAGAAAACACATTCATTAGTGTGCATTATATGTGGTATTACAGGATGTAATTATCCAATCACCTTAAAATATAAATCAATTTATCTCTAAATCCTAAAGGGACTGATAAACACTGGCCCTATCTGAATTTTATTTTAAACATATATTTTTATACTAAAAATTTCAAGACTGTGGGATTTATGAAATGTTAATATACTTTCTTTCTTTTCTGTCATCATTTAATTTTAGCCTATAAGTAGAAAAGTCTTTTAAGTTATAATAACTATATTACTTTAACACTAAATATGATATTAGGGTATATAACTGAATATAGCAATCTTAAATACAAAAAAATTTAAACCAAAGAAATTAAAGACTCAATAATAGTAATAAGGCGAAATTCTACTTGACAAATCAGAAACAACAGCTTAATTTGAAAGTAATTAATAATTATTTTTAAGGATGTGACTTCATCTCCAAACTACTATAAAAGTAACAATCTATAACCCTTCTCATGAAGGAAGGAGTTGGTTGTAAATGAACATCTGGGAGGGAACATTTTTTCACTAAATGCATCAGTGCCCTAAAGGTTGCCAAGAGGATGTGGTATGTCTGCAGAAACTTTTAAATCACAGAAGTGAAGGCCATAAACAAGCAAACAAACCAACAAATTATAAATGAAATATATTTGCATTTTTCAAAAGTACATTGAACAATTAATTGTGAATGATACTTAAGAATTGGATACCTAACAATTTTATTCCAACGAGTTTATAATTCTTGAAGGGAGATTGACTAGGAACATGCCAAAATATTTGTAGATTACAAGAAGAAAGATAATAGGGAAGAGTGAAGAAATCAACAGCCATTGAGTGTTTTTTAAGAATAGAGCATTGACTAGATCACAATACTAAATATACCCAGGCCTAAATAATTTAATAGCATTTTCAAATCCATGATTGACTTTGTTTATGCAGGTGCAGTGGTTTATGGTGTGGTTTCTATATCCCTTCTCCAGATCTCACGGGAGCTGTGTACACTCATCAATCCAGGCCTGGAACATATACTTCTCCAAAGATAAATTGCTCCCTCTGGCTGATTTGTAGTATAATGTCATGTTTCTTTCCACAGGACATTTTAGAGTAGTTTTTCTTTTGTTGTTGTTGTTTTTTGTTGTCATTATTTTGTTTTGTTTTGTTTTTTGACAGAATGTTTCAGTGTCCTAAGTTTGGGTACAACCAAAATATGAATCATTTTTTTAAGCTGACTACATTCTAAAGAACAATTTGTTAATGCCAATGGAATCATATTGCTAAAAGTATGGTAATTTTTAAAGCTGAGTAATGTTAAATTGTCCCCTAATTTATATCTGTTAAGCATATCTTACAAACCTGGAGGCCTATAGCTTTACTGAACTATTGGCAAGCAATTTCTACAGTATGTTGAATAACTGTGGATGAACCTTGAGAAATGGATCCCTAGCAATTTTGTTGCAATGATCTTACAGTGCTGGTAGGTAGATGTAATGTGAACATGCCAAGGTATTTGTAAAAGAAAACAGGGAAGAATCTCGAAAACAACACCCACTGAGAGTTTTCTAAAAATGGATGAATGACTAGATGACAACGCTACACTTATACAAACATATCGTGGGCATCAGTGGGATGCAGTTATGGTAGAAAATTACAGGCTTTATTAGCTATCCACATTAAGTGAGATGGGGTGTGAGAATTCTTGCTATAGTTTCTGCAATACTCTGACTTTCAGTTTACCTATACTCAAGTGTACAAAAAAATCAACAAATAATATAAAACCTCTAAAATAAAATAAAAAAATAGTCTCTACATGCATTAAACCCAGAAATTTGAAATACAAACACACAAGCACCAGCAAGCCAAATCCATAGTAGCAGTGGCAGCATGTTTGCACAAACATGTTTGCACAGACATTGCATGCATTTCCTTACTTTTTCCCTTGGGTTGTTCTGTTGAAATAGAAGCAGGGAATCATTATTCTTATAAGATTTTGAGGTACATTTGCCTCAAAACAATGACTAGAGTGCAGTTTCCCCAACCCACCTCCCCATTATATCTCCTTTTGAATTCCATAGTGATTCTTGCTTTGAGGTATCACTAATTATATACCAGGTGGGTCTATAACTTTACTGACAAAAACATCATTCAACAATGAAGAGGTCTACAATTATTCTGCTTAATGATCTGAACTAGTTATTTCTGGTATTCTTAACACACAAAAGTAAACACCTTATCCATGCATAATTTCGGAAGACAGAGGGTGCATTTGCCAAATGGGTCATGATTGCAGTCAGGATAAAAAAAGGTATACTGCAATTCTTAACTTACGTTACAAGATATAGATTAAACTTGTATATTTGATATGTAACATTTTCAGTGTCACAAAAAAAAATCATATCTTTGCAAAATTTCCTGATAGGTAAATACAAGTAATACATTATTATTGTTATTTGCTATTGTTATTATTGGTGTTTTATGTTTACTAGAGGTTGAGCATGTAGTGTTACACATGAAGTACAAGTTTGCTGTCCTGGAGCTACAGTTCCAGACTCTTTATTTTTGTTACTATCAAATACTTCTCATGGCAATATAATCAAAGATTTCTCTGTCTCTCTCTCTCTCTTTCTCTCTCTCTCTCTCTCTCTCTCTCTCTCTCTCTCTCCTCTCTTACTTCCTTGACCTTTCTCTCTTCTTCATTTTTTTCTACTCCATATACAGATTTTTATTTTAGATGTATGTTTTAGGAATAAAATGCTCTTTAAGGGCTCATTGAGTACCAAGTACCAGAGCCCCACCCAAATAACATACAAAACACAAAGTATGTCAAGTATTCCTTTTACCTTCTGGAGTTTTTTTCATTTTCTTTGAATCTGGAAATGCAAAGATAAATCATTGATAATGTAGATATGATTAAATTAAAAAATACATGGTTAGCAATAAAATTTCCATACCTCAAAAATATTGACTAATAGTATGATTAAAAGAGAGTGTTTAAGGGTAAACTACCCTGTTTTCCAAAGCATGAGCATTATGAGTCAAGAGGTCCTTTCTAAAACATTAAACATACAAAGGAATATAATCCAAAATGTCTATATCTATTTTTCATTGATAATTAACTGTGCCTAGAGTAGTTGGTAAATTCATAATAGGAACTCAACATGAATATGTATACAGTATGTTTCTGAAGATGATTAAAGTCCATAACATTAACTTTTAGTTCCATATTTGTTCTGTCTGTGGTGATCCAGGTGAAATTTCTTGTACATTATTCAATAATCAACACACACATATTCAATGATTTCCACTATTGTAAAAGTTAAATGGCTTGATATTGCTTACTGCTTACTTAACAAAATATGTTTAAAACTGTTGCCTAAAACTGTTATTCTTTGGTCAATACATAATTATTTTAATTTTATTAGAGGGACCTTCAACCTAGAGAAAGGAAAATTGTTATTTAGTGTATAGAATTTCTGTTCTCATCATTTGGGAATAAGAACAAGAGAGTTTTGAACATGATTATTTTAGAATGTGACACCTTAGTTAACATTTTTTACTTCAAATATCTTATTTCTTATTTTAAGTTAAATTTTAAATTTTTATTACTGAAATACAATCATAATAATAAATGATATTTGTTGAAAAAGGTTAGGCACATTGTTTCTTGGCTGATACGTATCTTCATGTGAACCTAGAACAATAGATTGGTATAATTTTAAGATCCTGGGTGGTCTGTGATGCTGTGGTATTATGGCTTCATTTCCATGCACAGTGAGTGATCTGACATAATGGAAAGTTGACAATATATTTCTGCTTATTAAAGCTACTCAGATTGTGTACACAGTTTTATGTGGGGGGAAGATAGCCAATACAGGTAACAATTTCGTATATTTCTATAGAATTGTTAACTGGAAATACATTATAAAAAAGCAACACGGGAAAGAACCCACCCATCATAGAAATTAGCTTGCTGTTTAGCACATACATTTCTAGAATGTGAACTCACAAGTGAATATGTGAGAAGATGCTTCTTGAATGACAATGGGTTTAAGCTGCAAATCATGGAGAAGTTAAATATTATGGGGAGTTGGTTTAAGAATTTGTGCTAAATTTGCATGAAAGAAAAAGGTGCAGTCATTATAGCGATGCTTTTCAAATTATGTCACAATCTTAAAAGATATTGTCCAAATTAATTGATGCTGTTGTGAGGCAACTAAAAGGCCTACAATATCGGATCATTGCTATTTTTAATCTGTCTGTCTTCTCAGTTCTATGTATCAATGATAAGTTGTATTAGATATCTATGTAGTAAGATAATGAAGTAGAAAACTTGAAATAAATTGAAGTATAGCTATATAATAGAAAATAACATGTGATTTAACCAAGATCTTCAAGTGCATTTGTTTACGGAATAGACTTCTGTGCTAAAATTTACTTAAAATGGTATAAAGATATATTACTTGGTTACAAACAACAGATGTTAACCCCACAATGGCATCCTCTATCAAGGTTAGTTTTTCTCTTGTTCTTCCCACTCTGTCCTTCTTCCAATTCAAACTTCCTGATCCTCATGAGAGGTTGGATATATGAGCAAAGGAGTCAAGACCATGTTCAAGACACTCACAGGAACAGCTGAACAGAGCAAGGAGGAACTCTCTGACTCCAGACTGATAGCTGAAGAACCTACATGGGACTGAACTGGGCCCCCTGAATGTGGGTGACAGTTGTGGGGCTTGAACAGTGGAACAAGTATTTATCACTATGGCATGAACTGGCTTTTTGGAGCCCATTCCCTATGGAGGGATAACTTGATTAGCCTGGATCCAGCAAGGAGGCCTTGGTACTGCTTCAAATTCTATGACAGATTTTGATGATTCCCCATGGGAGGCCTGACCCTCTCTGAGGAGTGGATGGGGGTGGGGTGCAGAGCAAGCAGGTGGGTAGAGTGTGAGGAAGTTAGCAAGGGGGAATTGTGATTGGTATGTAAAATAAGATTGTTTTTAAAAATAACAAACATAAATAGAAAAAAGCAATAGATGAACAATCCTGGAAGTGATAAATATGAAAAGTATGTTCCTTATACTTGAAAGATCACATGCTGACCCCAAAGGATGATGATTAGTGATAGCCATTAATATTTATTAAATGTCATTATGCCCTATTCCATACCATCATTTTTTCTGTTTGTGATTTTAATACTGTCTAGGTTTATTGGCAAACATTCTTCCCTGAAGACCTACCACTCTGTTAATATGGTTGTGCATTTTCTGATGGAGACTCTCAAATCTGTGGCTTATAAGCAGTGATGTTCCTCACTGCTCACTCCATAATTCATTCATCTTTACTAATACATCTGGTTGAGTGTATTGCATTTATTCTAAGGCCAGAAGTGCATGAAACACCAACTTACATGAAAGGGGGAAATTAGCTATGGTAATATATTAACAGTGATAATGAAGTACTTGTCTTCTTGCCTAATTTACATCTTCCTTCATTGGTAGCACCAGGCATTCTATCTGTGTTTCAAAAGACGTTTGAAATAACAATTCTTTATTGACAGAAATGGAGAAGATTTGCATATTCAAGTCTACTTGCAATAGTTCTGGTAGCAGTGTATCTCATCTGGCCTAGTCCCTAGTGGAGTTCCATATTCCAGAAGAAAAAGAGGAGTTCTTAAAATTCTTGTCTCAAGAAATTCAAGTACTTTTCAAGTATCAGCTAGTAGTTACACATACTCTTCAGCTGACATAGTCTGTAGTTAGTAATAACTTCTAGTTATATCATAATATTTTTGTACACTGGTTTCTATGGAAATGATTCGATCATGTGTTCTGACATTAGTATCTCACCCTGTTTTGGTGTGGGAGAAGGACAGCATGAGGCAGTCACACTCAGCTAGCTTTAATTTTTTTTTTGTATAAAAGTAATATATTTTCTCAGTCTCAAAGGACATCCCATGCCTGACCCCTGGAATTATTCAGTCTTTGGTCTTGGGTTTGCCACATTCTATGCCTGACAGCAAGGATGGAAAGCAAATGTGAAGGTGGATGTGAGAATTTTGGTTCTGGGTTAAGGTAAGTAGCATGTTCCATATTCATGGTAGAATCATTCAGTATTATAAACAGCTACTGATTTAAACCTTTTAATTAACACAGTTGAATATTTTACAATGAATAACTAGTATAGGCAGGATATTTATTTCTCTTATAGTTTTAAATATTTTCATTTCAGGAATCCTTTAAATGCCTAACAATCACTAAGGACCGCAAACGGCTTCTATTTATGTTTTAATTGATGTTCATAACTTTAGAGAGTAAGCTTAGAACATTTCAAACATACTTATGAATTACTAAACATAATAAGTCTTTTACAATGAACATTAATATCACACTTTACGGTATATTTAATTCTTTTGACAAAAAATAGTGAGATGAATGACTATACAATTTATGTGTCTGTCAATCTTGTTAATAACTGGCCTAAGTAGGTTTGGTTTATCTGCCTAGCCATTTGGGCTCTTTCAACGTCAGAATCTTTTAGCTTCTGGAAGATTCCAGTAAACATTCATGTGAGAAGGAGAAAGAAGAACACAAAATGCATTTATATTTTTAGGACGATGTTTTTGGTTGGGGGACTATGGAAAGGGTGTCAGAGATTCTCTGAGGTCACTGAGCACTAACAAGTCTGGTTTTAGAAGTAATGACCCTGGTTGACCTGGGAAACTGGTAAGAACAATATGAAAGCACAGTGCCATGAAAGCAGCAACTCCACTGCTGAAGACTACTTAAGAATACATTTTAATTTCTTTAGGAAGAATGGAGTAAATAAGTGGTCAATGAAACCAAAGTGTGAAAAGATTGAATGTCAGGGGCCAGTGAAAACTTGCAACTTAGTTTAACATATAGCAGAGTCCTGGAGTTCATAAGATGACTCTTTCACTTTTTTTTTAAACAGTTGAATTTTCATGGGAAAAAGTATCAATCTATTCTAAATATCACATACTGGATATGGAGAATTTCTCAAGAAAATTGCTTTGAGGTATTTTAGCAAGAAAAAAACACAACTAGAAAATGTCCTAGGGGCATAAGAACAGGAGAGGGACAATCACTCAGCTTAAATATATGAAACTATCATGTGGCTGTTGTTTCATATACCATAATTTTCTTAATATTTTGATTTTAGTGGTAATGAATTAAAAGAGTAATTTTTAAATAAAAAGAAATTATCATAATGAGCTCACAGAAACACAACACAGTTAAATTTGTTTGTATGACTACCTGAAAGACAGTTATTAATATTACTTCTTTACCCAAATTAAATGATAAATTGATTTGTTATTGAGATCCTATAGCAATAAAAATCAAACAAACATTTTTGAGGTATTACTCTGTACACCAACTGTGCTGGGAACTGACTACTTCTTTGTTCTAATGATATTTCTGATGACTTCCTAAAATGTTTATAGCAGAAGTGAACATGGATGTCATCATTTACAAGAAAATGTGAAAAGACTTACTACATTTATATGGAGAATTCATGATGATTGCATCATAAGAAACATAGTCATTTGTCTAGTGGTTTTTATCATAACTTTATGGGTTCTTTCTCCTTAAAATAATAAGCAAGATTTGTTTGGCTTTATTTTCAGTGTATATTAACTCTTAGTTTTCTGTTAATAGAAGCAAAATATGAACCCCAAGATACTGTGATCAGGTAAAGTTCTAATGAAATTAAGTATAAAATATGACCTTTGCTTCCTTCTCTCTTTCTCTGATCAGATGAACACTAATTACCAGTGTTTTCCTATATCCGCATGCTATTTGTCATAAAAAATGAGCTCACATTAATTATCAATTGTAGAACCTTCTGCACATGTTTTATGAGAGTCCATTAGAAACATTTTCCAGAAGAGGAAGATAAGAGCTAGTCTTCTCTCCTCACAAGCTTCACTAACCATAGCCAGACTTCATCATGTCCACAGACCTCTATGTGCGTTCTCTCTCTCTCTCTCTTTCTCTTTCTCTCTCTCTCTTTATATATATATATATATATATATATATATATATATATATATATATATATATATTTACTTTAGAATAGTTACTATTGTAAAAAATACCTTCTCAGTCTTTTTGACATATGAACTGCCCCAAACCCTTTGGAGTATAACCATTATTTTTTAAAAAAAAAGACAGCACTCTCTGGAAGAGAAGCCTGAGTCCAATATGTGCCCATTATGAGATAAATGGCCTAATCATACCGATCACCATAGATCAGTATCTTCCAGGAGTTTTGGCTGGTTCATCATGGAACACAATCTTCCAGGCTTGTGGTTTCTGTGCAGTTGTGTTCTCTATCCTTCTGTTAATAATATACTTTTCTCTGATGACAACAGTCTTGAACGAATATAACTATATGAATTTAATAATCTATTCAGTGTAATTTTAACGGTATGATTTTTATATTGTGCCAGTGTAAAAATCAGTGGTGGATGTGATATACAAGCAATTTACTATAACTTATATTCAGTTTAGAAGAAGAAAATAAAATGAGGGACTTTTTGTATGTTTTATATAAACTGACATAATATAGGAGAATGAGTTCTGCATTTTACAAATATGCAAAACTTTATCAAGTTTCCAACAGAGTAGGGGAACTAAGATTTTTACAAACTATATTTTATCCTTTGTCTAGAGATAAACCATACGAAAATTATTTTGAGAGTAGCTCAGGCCTTTGTTGAGCTGAAATAAAAAAGGCATATTCGTGCAAAATGCATGTGCATAACAGATCCAGTAATCCAAAAGGAATGTGGGTGGAAGAGCAGTCGAATCTGGTTCTGAGAATTGGTAAATTGTTCTAGCAAGTGGCACAGTGGGATTTTGCATGAAACATTAAAACATACCTTCTTTCTTCTCATCCTTTTTAGCTGCTGTGGAAATAATAGAAAGAAAACATCATTGTAACATTAGCTCAACTTTACTTAGGATATATTCATAATATGAAAAGACATCCCAGTGATCACCTATGAACTACTTATGGCATCAAAACATGTATGACTGTAACAGAGAGAACTGTGTGTGACAACTTTTTAATACTCATAAATGGGAATGCATATACAGGTGTGTGTGTGTGTGTGTGTGTGTGTGTGTGTGTGTGTGTGTGTGTGTATGTGTGTGTATGTATATGTATGTATTAGCTTTTGGAAATGATTCTCAAAAATATATATGCACTTAGCTTCTGAAGAATTGGATGTTGGTGTTAAGTCTACTTTTCATTTGCAGTAAGAATATACTAAATATACCATTTATGAATTCTTCAAAAAAGAAAGTCTCTGAAATTTAAGTTAGTTCCAGAGTTTGCAAGAATCTATGCTTAGATCAAATCAATCCTCTCTAAAATAATCTAGAAGCAAATTCTATAGTGTTACTAATAAAAACTAGAATGACTTAAGTAAACATTCAGATATAGTTTAGTTTTGTATCACATTTGTGGGTTCACTTTCACTTGGTTCATTTCAAAACTGTACTATGACCTTATTTCACTTATGTATAAACTATGTGTATAAACATCAGTTACTTCTTTGTTTCTGGATATGGTTTAATTATTTATCTGCTATATGAATGGTCTATGGAAATTCTGCAATGTTGATGGTGATTAACCCATCATGCTGTTTCTTATTTTAATGTGTCACTGCCATTTCTCTGAATACATTCATACTGCATTGTTCGCTGTGCTAAATCAACACTGGGAACTGCCTTCCTACTCTGAAACAATGATGAGACTCTAGGATACTAGCCAACAATAAAGTCAACTGGAATACTTTATTTGAAAATAATAATAATTCAACAAGAATACTTTATCTGAAAACTAAAATTTCAGATACCACCTTGCCTAAAATATTATTTAATGTGAAAACACTGAGCCCATACTCTTGAGCTGAAATTTTAAGTGGATGTCCACACACCTTTTCAACCCTTTCTGTTTCAACTCCATTAACATTAGGCTGAACCAAATGTAAGTCTTGATTCAAGTTATTCTTCAAACATTGTGGGTCATCAGAACTTCCAAGCAAAATATAAGGACCTAAAATCCTTACACACACACATACACACACACACACACACACACACACACACACACACACACACACACAAATACATATGTACAAACACAATACAAACTTTTACCAAAAGTTTTTGGCCTGTGGAGTTTAGCCTGACGTATATTTTCATGTGGACTCATTCTGTTTTTCTAGCTCAAGTAATATTTATTACATTCCTTATCAAAACTTTCATAAAGAAGAAGCAATTTTATTGAACTTGTAATCAGCAAGAAAACTTAAAAGTGGCTCCCTCGCCCTTAAGTATGCCAGCATAAACTGCTCATAAATAAGATTTTGGTCAGATGCAATACATTCGGTAGTATCTCACATCACACTATATGCTAATCAGTCTGCTTCAAGACCCCTCTACCCAGAAACAATCATGCCACTGTCTAAATGCATCTCTTTTATTGCTAAACACGGCAGCACCACATAATTTAGTGTAGAAGAGAAAACAAAGATCCTGCCCAATAATTATTCTCCCTGTTTTCTCAAACTGATCTCCCAACTTTTATAGGTGACAATGGCAAAATACTTGTGTCTCCCTTTTATGTTTTGTCAAATTACTACTGGTTTGAGTATAAGCTACTTCTACTTTTTAAGCCCCAAGGGTATCAGTGAGAGATGCAACTAATTCTCTTGCATAGTTCATAAAGTCAAGGTAATTATTTTAGTTGTATATCTAGAAGCCAGCTTTTTCAATGAGTACTTTTAGACAACAATGCTGATTTTCTTATATTCCAATATTCTTTTAATATGAAAGAAATAATAAAATGTGACCAATTTATCCAACCAATTATCAAGTGTCATGATAATAGTTAAGCTGTGTATTTTTATGTAGTTATTTGAGGTTAATTTTTTTAGAGATATGTATTAAAGCATCTTGAATGATGCTTTGAGGCAGCAGACTGACTGTTATTCCTTTAGGCATGTAAATCCAGCATCATTCTTGATAGAACTTGTTCAAATGGCTAAAGAAATACTTGCCTTAATAACTATTGTTTATGGTACTGGAAGGTACTCTAACAGGCCATCAAAGTGGAAAGGTAAACAATAACCCAGCTACAAATGCTATGATCTACAATTGTGACATGCCTACAAGATTTTCTGATGCAATTGTGGCGCAAAGCTTATTAGAGTATCCAACCAATACTTGGTTCTATTTAAGGCCAAACCATGAGTTGGAAACTATCTCTGACATTCTTGGGTAGTCAATAATCTGACACAAGATATGCCAGGGACCTAGGGGAAAGCCACATAATACTGTCTTGCTAAAGCAATGTATCAACAAAATGACTCCTTACAACCTTTTGCCACAGCCATAGATCAGTGCCTTGCTCAGCCATCATTAGAGATGGCTGTAGATGTGAATAGATTCAGAAATCCACAGGGGGCAATGTGCACAGCCTGAAAGGCCTTGGAACACTTAGTCAAAAATGTGATGTCACCAATAATCCCACCCCTACCATTAGACTTAGGGAATCCTGAAGAAGAGGGGGAAAGCCTGTGACATTCAGAGAGGATGGAGGAACAAGGAAACAAGGCCAAGGGAAACACAGCAGGATTTATGAACATATAAACTCAGAGACAGTGGCAGGCGGACATGGTACAGGCGGGACAGTAGACAACCCCTATCTCTAACCCAGAAGCTATCTCCAATTTGTAACTGCTTGCAAATAAAAATTTAGTTTTTATTAACAGAGTCTCACTGAGTACATAAGCTGCTCTTAGGGCAGGCCCCATCCACAGCAGTAGATGGACAAAACAAATCAAGTCAATGCTATCTCTGCAAGTAATTTTGTCTCACAGTGCTTTGACTATGCATTCTTTTCTTTTTTTTCTAACAGGTCTTCTGCTTATATATTATGGTTTTTGAGCTTGTGTTGTTGGGGGATTTCTATGTGTTACAATGTATGTATTTCTATGTCTATATTTGTGGGTTTTATGCTTTTTATTTGAATTTTTGTTTTTCTGTTGATTTGTTTGTTTTGTCCCATTCAGGTATGCTTGTTTTAGTTTATATTATTTTATTTCTATTTCCTAGATTCATGCTTGTTTGCTAATGAAAGGGAGCAAGAAATGGTGTGGATTTTGGTGGCTATGGAGCTGGGGAGGATCTTGGAAGAGTTGGGAGAGTGGAACCATAATCAGAATATACCGTATGAAAAAAAATCTATTTTTAATTTTAAAAATTCTTGCAAATTTGTTTATTAAAGAAGACCAGCCAGCAGGTGGTGCTCTTCTGCAATAAACAGCTTTTGCTTTGTCAATAGAAAACTATAAACTGAAGAGAGGAGAAAGCAGTAGTATCTTTAAAGTGTTTACTAACCTTGTCCTGTGACTTTAGCGGTTGCTTGTTTGTCTTCAGGAGATTTGACTGGCTCTAAAAGAAGAAGAAGAAGAAAAAAAGACAAGTTACAGCAAATAAATTGTACAGAGCAATATATATAGTTAAAAATTACTCAGTAAAGCTAATAAACTATATTTTTATACTTGAATATTGCATTTATTATGTTGCTATGAATTGATACCTGGAATGTGCTACACACACATAATATTTGTGTGTGGGTGTGTGTGAACATACATGTACAAACACAAATACTCTCCTTCCTTCCTCTTTCTCCTGATGTATACCTCCCACACAATAATAATAATAATAATAATAATAATAATAATAACAATAATAATGATAGCCATGCAGTGGTGGTGCACCCCTTCAATCCCAGCACTGGGGAGGCAGAGACAGGTAGATCTCTTTAAGTTCACGGACAGCCAGGTCTACAGAGTGAATTCCAGGACAGCCAGGACTGTTTCACAGAGAAATCATATATATATATATATGTATATATATATATATACATATATATATATGTATGTATGTATGTATGTATAATAATCGATTTCTTGGGACAAACAAAAACATTTTACCTTTTGTTGCAGTGATAATTTTTCATTTATATCACAACCGTAATTACAGAAGTACTAATTCTTTAGTTTGTTTTATGTGAAAGGAGTATCTATTGCTTAAGCTATTATTATTATTACCATAGGTATTTATTCAAAACATTAAGTGCTTTTAAAAAGTTTGCTGAGCCATCTTTGTAGTCCCCAAAGTTCATTTTTAAAGGGACAGTCTGAAATATCTACCCGAGAAAGCGCAATTTCAATTTCAACAGAAGCAAATCTAGGGGTTATAACACCTGCATGAACTGTTTTCTGGTTTGAGGAGAAGACCCAATCCTGAGACCATAAATGCACAACAAAAGAAACCCCTGAACATGGTCTCCGTTAGAAGACCTGGGCAGTCTAAGGGACCTCTGACAGTGGAACCAGGGTGTATCCCTGGTGCACAAAAGGACTTTGGGAGCACATTCCCCATGGAGGGATACTCCTTTAACCTAGAGGCAGGAGGGAGGGCATAGTCCCTACTCCAAATGACTTGGCACATTTTGTTGACCCCTCCTGGAAGGCACCACCCTCCCTATGGAGTGAGGGGGGCATGGGAGAGTGGGAGGGGGATGGGATGGGAGGTGGGGGGGAGCATGTGAGGGAAGGAGAGAGGGAGGGAAGGAGAGGGAACTGGGATCGATATGTAAAACAAAAAAAATTAAAAAAAGAAAGAAAGAAAGAAACCCTCACCAACAACCATAGAAGTGGAAGCACATAAAATCCAGGGAGATCTCCAGGAAAGGTACATTCTCGGCATTCCTTCGATTTCTGCCCCCCCTCCACAAAAGAAGCTAACACTATACTAGAGAAAATTCCAAACAAATGCAGAAATAACAAACATATATTCCTAACAATCACTGAAAAGTGCCTAAGTGGTAGCAAGTTTTTCCTCTCTATTACCACAATCAATATAACCCAATAAAAATTTTCAAATGAATTTTCTAACTTCTTATTAGCCTATATTTGGTGATTTTTATAGATATATCTTTGCATCAAAGGATATAATTTTAAATAAAAGTGAATGATCAGAGTATCATTCAAATATTATAATAGTCTGAAATTGATGAGTAATATTTATACCATAAAGTCATGGCCTGGAATATATATGGTACTGTATGTATGTATACAATACCATAAAACAATGGGAGGGAATAAAATTTGAATTGTAAAAAAAAATACTGTTCGTATTAAAAATGTCAACGTAATTCCTTTATCTTCCTTTATTTAGTAGGATATTATTAAACAAGTCACTATTCTAATCATCAGAAAACATACTAATACAAATAAATTTCCATGGATTACATAAGCCAAATATTTCAACCTCTTTAATCCATAGGGATGGAAAGGCTTCACTTAGCAGAATTGAAAAAATATTAGGACACTATACATTTACTTAAAGAATCATTTTTTTTCTACAGATTCAAATATTAAAAATGACAAGCTTGTCACTTATGGCTCACCATTTGTATTTTGACTTGAAAATTAGTCTTTCAAACAACTGCAAGCAGCAATGAGGGTCTACAATAGAGTCCTTTGTATTTGCATCTGGCTATTAGATATTGGTGATTATAGTATTATTCGAGAACCGTGTTTGCATCTGAAAATTGTTTTAAGAGTTTCTCTACCTCTGAAAAAGTATCACTGCATTTATTATAGCTACTTTTTAGAATAAGATAAGAGAGATGAATTACAATTTCAAAAGTGGTAACAAGAATTACTTGAATAATGTAATAGAACCTTCACTTCAGCAAATGACAGTAAAATAAATAACAAAGAGTCCATTAAACAAAGGAACAACCTAACAAGGGAAATGGAATTAGTAGAAAGAAGTGCTAAAACAGGAAGTGTAGTATTGATGCTATGGTCAACACATGCACCATTCCTTTATCCCAGTCTACTAGCCAGGGCAGTGAAGATTTCAATCTCAGAGTAGTCATACGTTAAATTACTTACACAGATATTTCTTCTCACTAGTCTACAAATCTGTTAAGGCTACTAATTCTTGCCTACTCATCTCCATAACTCTAGCACCAAGAGAACTATTGAGAAAATCTCGAATAAACCCAAAAGAAATAGCACTGAAAAATCTAATGCTAATTGTGAAAAGTTCAACTGACCAGATTGATAGTAAAAAATAATAAAAAATAAAAAAATACACAACTGAACTCCCTTGACCCTTATAATTGATCATATATTAAGCAGAAAGCCTCTTCATTTTAAAGTTCAGAACTTGATTTTCAATAGATTTTATTGGAACCAGATAACGTTTGTAAAGTGGAGCTATTCATATCTTACTAGAGCAAGAAGAAAGCAATTCTTCCTTAGACAAATAATGAATCAAATTCCTTTGACTGGTTTTCAAGAAAAGAAAGTTCCAAGTGTAGGCTCTTGTAGGTTTTGCAGTATGAGTACTAAATACAGAGGCTTGCAGAAGGTGAGTCGCTGTGGTCTTCTGTTGCTTCCCCTCCTGATCCATCACCAGAAACTGCTACAGCTGTGTAAGTGCATGCTGCATCATCTCCAGTCATGGTGTGTCCACAGTCACACATACTGGTACTTTGATTGTTTGTTGAGAGCCCAGTTTGAAGAACTTAAGAATGAGCAGGTGGAGGCAACACAGTTGCTGAGGGAGGCAGAAGAAGTCTGGCAAAATCAGTTTCCTCAGTTGTATATCCTCCCTGACTCTCCCTGGGGGCGCCTCCTATGAGAGATATGAGTGTTCCAAGGTTCTGGAATGATGTTTAGATAATTAACATCCTTCTGAGAAAGCAATGTATCATGGTTACTTTTCCAAGAGATACCACTGACAGAAATTTAGGTTGGAAAGCTGGGGTTAGGAGGTTAGACAGATGCAGGAGGAAACACTATATGTTGGTACAATGAATAAAGCTTTGCTTTCTGCCAGAATGGAAGGTGACTTGCCTCCCTCGTGGTGGCATATTGTGACCAGGCTTTGGGAGGGACTAGGGTGGATACAAGTACCATACTGTTTACGTTTTCAAGTGAAATAAACCACACACTTGACCTAATAAAAATAACTAAATTTTGGGGTAGGAAATAAATATAGACTTACAGTGTCTTTTATATAAACAATAAGAGAAATCTATAGTCATTAATTCAACAGTTAAATTTGGATCAGCAGGGTGACACCATGCAAACCACCCAGGAGTACACACCCTTTTTAAATAAGATACTAGAAACTGGTAACAGTTTAGCCCTAACTTCAATGAGTTAATCAAGGTCTCAATCAATGTCTGAATTATTGTTCTCTAGACTTACAAAATTGTATTCACATATAGATACTACCCAAAGAGAGAAAGATTAAAAATTAAACTAAGAATTTATGTGCTTACAAGTTCTTAGGTTAAGCCTCTTGTACTTACTGCTCCAGGAAAGCATATTTCTGAGATAATTCTTCATTTTAGTATGATAATCACCCTATTGAGGTGAAATTAATAATGAAACAGCCTTTGGCTATTCTGTCTGACCAAGGGTGTTGCAGTCTGAATGAACAGCCCATGTGCTGCCAGATATGCAAATTGTAAGATGGTGCAGAGTACGGGCACATGAATAATTTATCAAAATAATCTGTTATTGCTAAAGGTTTAGAACATCTAAATAGTCTGGCAGTACTGTTTACAAAAGGTAATTCAACTGAGCCATAACTCTCCCTGCTTCCAGAGAATCTTCATCTTGTCATTGTATGGTTTCTAATCCATTATCTCTGAATGGGTTAATAGTAAACAACTGAAGACATCTGTTAAAGTAGTTCCTTTTGTTTGTTTTAGGAACCTTTAAGAAACTAGAATTGAGATTTTTGTCATTTAGATCATTCTAAGCATTTCTCATCTTGAAGGGAAGAAATAGAACGTTGAAGCTTGCATTTAGCATTAAGTTAAAAAGTCTACCCATAGATTGTGCACACACTTCAGCTGGTCCCTGCAGCGCTGGAGTCAACTAAGCATCGGATGACAGTTGATTTGAGAGCATCAGTAGGAACCCTGTGCACATGCCTATCATCTTGCTGTCTGAATAGAATGTGTGGGAGTGGTACATTTTTTTAACCAATTAAAATGTAAAATTAACTATATTTAAAGAATTAAACAACAAAAGTCTCCTAATTAAACAGGAAGTTAAGAGTGAGACAGAGATCATTCAGATTTCTAATATTTAAAACATTTCACACATGTAAGGAGAGAAAAAAAAAGTTCATTGAGATCAAGAAAAGGCAGTGCCATGAAAGTAACAGAACAGATCATGATTGTATGAGAAACATAGACTGAACTGCTCTTGTGGGTACCAGATAGAAGAATAGCTCTCTTGCAGAGTTGTGGATTCAGACATACTGCCTTAATCAAAGACACAGTACCAACTAATCGTTAAGGTCCCATTCTATCCTCAGTAGCAACTCTGTAAATTCACTAAGTATACAGA